ATGATCTTATTATCGTGACACTTGCTAATGTTAGACAGATATTTTATTATTGACTATTTTTATTTTACCCCTTACAAGGGTTTTTTCATTTCCACTAAATACTGTATTATAAACGTTCCACATGTTCTAGGTCATTACTGTGGTAAACCTTGTTCTTTGTCAACACACACAGAAAAAGGAAAATATCGGTGCCCTTTAAAGTGTATTATGGATTGCAAAAAAGAACATAATTATCATCGTAAGAAATCAGATAACCACAAATGTATTAGACGTTTTGTTTGTATTTATTGTTTGTACTTATTTTAAATATAATATTTTTAAGGTTGTGAGAATGAAAAGTGTCCTATTCAATGCCCCATACTCGAGTATGAAAGGGTTTACTCAAATAATTGTGTTCTTTATTCCTTCCTTGATAATATTTTTTAACATTATCCATTATCTAGGTGCAAAAGAATGTGTCAAAGTGATGATCACTTTCATGAATACTCGGAGAATCAAGTTATAAACCATTTTTGCGGGTCAGTATTGTGCATATATAATTGTGTACTTTTTCATAGTGATTATATATATACAGTATATATATGTGTATTGCCTTTAATTAAATATAGGAAAGAACATCAATGTCGTGAAATTTGTGAAGGATCCGGAATATGCAAAATTTTGTCAGAGCCTCAAAAACGAGAAGAGATATGCCAAGGGAACCTAGATAAACCAGCGACTTCAGCTAAGGTAAACTACGTCTAAATTGCGTTTGTCTCATTATTAATACTCTAATTTGAATTTGTTCATTATAGTATATTCAATTGGGTGAAAGATTAATGTGTTGTAAAAAGATTCCTCCAAATAAGTTTAGACATGAAGGGGCACATACTCATTCCCAAGATAACAATGTTGTTCATTTCTGTGATGCCAAGTGTCAGTTTTGCGAATATTATGTAGGCTCCTATTCACCCACATATGGAGTATTCAACTTATAATGCACTAACATCTTTTTTTTTATTATTAGTGTACTCTACCTTATGGACACACGCAACCATTGCATGAAACATTACATGGATATATGCACCAAACAGATTTTATAAGTGAACATGATATAATATACGCAAGGTGTGATGTATTAACGTTTTTGCTTTCTCATGGTATTTGTAATATACAGTATGAAGATTTTGATCTGTATTTCGTTTCTAATGATTATATAGTAGTTGTAAATTGCAAATAAGCGATCAATATTTGCCTGTTCTGTGCAATTTGGTATGTTATAAACTATTTCTGTCCGATCCTGTTGTAACTCTATTTAACCTTTTTTTTGTACACTGATTAAATTATCAAATAGTATTGTAAAGAGATAGGGTGCCATTTACATATTGATTATTGTAAAGACGAAGGAACTTGCAATTAAGTACGAATCACCCGGACATTAAACATACTGATGGTATTTTACTCATTAAATATCACTGTCGAATAAGTTTACCTTTCCTATTTACATACTTATCTTTTTTTTTCTTTAGGTCGATTTAAACCAAATCCTCAGCAGGCAAAGGACTTTATTTCACATCGCCTCTTCTGGGAACGTAACGGGTTTAAAGGTTTTTGATCTGTATTACATTATGTTAAACGAAATCTTTTTTTTTTCTTATAATAAATTTTTATTTTAGACCCTAATTCAACTTAGGATCAGCGCGCAAATGTAATCGCTGATGTCCCATAGGCTAGAAAAAACCCACATTACGAATTTCGCTATTGGTTATATTTCACTTGATGGTCACTACTTTCACTGTGAAAACTGTGCTAATGATATGGTTTTTGGTGATAACACGGAGGGACACTGGTTTTCTAATTATAATTCTATTTAAGATGAATTGATAAGTTTATTTGGTCCATATATTTTACACTAAGTATAGTTAAGATATTGTTTCTATAAATACTGCGATTTGAAGTTCTTTCTTGACGCGTAAATATTTGTATATGCTGTATACTGTATATATGATTTTAAAATTTATCACATTACACATACACTGCAGTATATTTTAGCGGGTTAACCCGATAGTCTGTATTAACCGTGAATAAAGACTGTAAGTACTTAAACTTATCTCTGATAGAGATATGTATGGTTAATTCGATAACTTTTTCCACCCTTTTTAAAATCTTAAATTATACTGTGTGCTCTTATTTAAATAGCCACGCCTAATTTATAATTACCTAACGTACAGAATTTTTAGTTTTTTGCGAATAGACTGTATTCTGGCATGTTTTAAACGAGTATGTTTATATATTACAATAATTATATTCAATATTAAAAAAAATTAAATGCTTTGAAGTATGATTATTATAAAATAATTTCAAGATCAATAATTAAAATATCTCATTTGTTTATAGATAATTAAAATATTTTATAATAGTATAAGATGGCGAAATTGGCTTGGTCTATACAGTATAATGTTTACAATACGTCATCACATGATCGTGACCGACACATCGATATACTGTACGTAATTTGTTTTATATGAATCTTTATTAAAAAAATTTTTAGATCACAAAATGCTATATTGTCTATATGTTAAAATCAAAAAGAATATTTACAATTATTTTATGTTTTTGACCTATAAACATTTTTGTAAACATATAATAATTAAGTTTATGTAAATGAAAATATAACTTAAATTATATTTTAACCTAATGATACTATTTATTAAAAATTAAAACCAACATTAATTTAAATTATATTATGACGAAAATAAATAAACCCCATGATTCAAAAAACTTTAATATTATAAAATTCCAATTATTCCAAAAAAAATCATAAATAAAAAATTTACGTCTAATTCTTTCAATACTAACAAATCAATCTCTTTTCAAAAGAACAATATTTTAATTGACATTCCTATCATAACAATTGAATTTTTATATAAAAAACTTTATTTACTTTCTTTATATTTATAGTTTAATTTTTAATTATCATAATCATAATTTTTCTAATTATAAATAGATACTTATAGCTTCTTAGTATTCTTTAAAAATAATATTAGTTTAAAACTTCTTTTCCATAATAGGTTAAATAATTACTGTAAACAAGTTAATATTTATTTCATTATTAATACATATAAGTATATTATTTTTTTAATATTGTTAAACATAAAAAATATATAGATATAAAAAAATATTAAATATAATATAACACAAAATATGAGATAGTAAATAAAATAAAAATACAATACAAAAAACCAATATATTAAATTATATTTTTATATAAAATTAAAAGTCTAATAAGTTTATGATAAATTTGTTTTTTAATGTTAAGTGAAGCATTTCTTATGATCTTTATTAATATAATATAATAAAATTAAAATTGTTACATTATTAATATTAAAATGTAAAATACATTGCTATACATGTCAGCCTACTACCCAATTAGTTATATCTCTGATAAAAAACCCTTAAGCAGTAAAATGGAGAGAAACTACCTAATCTTGGAGGACTAATGCCTCCCTAATAATTTATTCTATCCTATAAGAACATAAATAGATTTTTCAAAAAAAGTTTGTATGATATTGATTAGTTTATGTTAGTATATTTGGTTGTTATTGTTTGGTAAGCTATTTTTTTATATTTTGTTAAGAATAGTTGAATTTTTGTTTGAATTGTTGTTGTTTCTTCTATATTTAGTATTTTGTGATATGTCGAGAAAACTTTTCTCTATAATTATATTTTTGTTTCTTAGAATCTAGATATGTTGATAAATAAGTTCAAGTGTTTTATTTTGTATTTCATTGAGGAGTTTAAGATTATGTTAAGTTAGTTAAAGATTTTTAAAAAGATTTTTAAGCTATAGTATACCTGTTACAAAGTTAATTAGATAAATATTAGTATTGATTGTTTTTGAACTAAATGAGAGCTGAAGTTTTTGTTGTTTTTGAATTTTTTTATAAGTAAAGTTTAAATATCAGATATAATTTTTTTAATTATAGTTGTGTTATATTTGCAAAGTTATATGTAATGAATGATTTCTAATAAAGATTTGCAACATAGCTATGTATCATTTGTATATATGTGTAGTAATGTGGTGTTAAGATAAAATTTGATTGGAAATAAACTTGAGAGGATTTTTAGATGAAAATTATAGATTTTGAAGTAATATTGGTTTGTTGGAATTAATGTATTTTTGAGAAAAGTTAAAGTATTGGTTATAAGTGAGAGATTAGGTTTAAGCACAATAGAATAGATTATTTCTATGAAGTAAATAGTTTTGTTTATTTGTTTAATATATTGTCTTGTTAGTAGGATATGATTTTTATCTGTATCAATAAATATAAAATGTATTGATAAGAAGTTAATTATGTTAATTTGTAGTAGTTGGGAGTTTGTTAACTGTATTTTTTGTATTGAAATTATGGATTTGAAAAAGGTGCAAGAGACTTGGAGTGTTTGAATTATATTATAAATATTTATTATAGTAGTAAAGTATAAAATTTTGCATTTTTTCCTATGATTAGTAAAAGATGGAGAAAAGTTTTGCAGTTTAATTTTGGATATTTGATAAAGAAATAATATTCTTTTAATTTATTAGATAATAATATTATAATTATTGTATAAAGAAGTGATAGATAGGGATTTGATTTAAAGTTAGTTATATATAATTTATAGTGTTGAATAAAATTTCAAATAATTGATGTGACACTGGTTTGATATTTGTATATTAATAAGATTTCAAGATGTGTGATATTATACTGTAGAAGCAGATTAATAGTAGGTTATAATGTTGATGGAATGTGTTTTTGAATTAGTGATTTATGAAAATTTAAATGAATTAGTATTTGTAGTTTGTTAGAATGCAATTTTATAGAAAGAGTTTGGAGGAGATCATTTTTAGTTGCTTTTGTTTTGGCTGTATTGTTTGGTTAAATTTGATAAAAAGATTAAGTAAATTTATAAGAATTAGAAGTTGATAATGATGAGTACTTGTTTGAATGTTTTGTGAATATCCTTGGCATTTAAAAAGTATTATAAATCTGTTGAAGTCAGAGTTGTTATAAGTCCAATGGTTGATAAGAATGTTAGTTGCATTTATTTTTATTTTTTTCTTATGATTATTTTATTGTTAATAAGAGATGCTAGCCATTTTCATTTTTTTGTTTTATTTAATTGAAGTTAGGCTAGTTTGTTGAAAGTTTGGTTATAAAAGTAGTTTGTACCAAAAGTGTATTTTTCCATAAGTATTAAATCCAAGTTTGACTAATATGTAATACCAGTTTGTAAGATTGTATTGTTGTATTGTAATAGTTGTTTAACATAGTACACATGTTTTTTGAAAAGTTGTTTTGCAAAAGTTGACCAGTTTGGATAATATAAAAGAAGTTAATAAATAAATGTATTTTCTCTTGAAAGTTTGTATGGCTAGTTGGTTTTAAAACAAAATAGAATGTTGTAGTTTTTGGCAAGTTGTATTTTATAAGTTGTGATATTATATTTGAGTACTTGTTTGTTTTAAAAAATGTAAAGAGGTTAACAGTTTTGTGTTTATAGTAAAGATTTCCCTTTTCTTGCAATATCTGATAGTTATATTGCAGAGTATGTATTGTAAGTTAAATATCAGAATTTCTAATTGTAAAACAGCTATTGGTTTTATGTTAAAGATATAGGAATTGTAGTATCAAGATTGAAGAAGAATTTTTTCAATGCTAAATTTGTGTTTAATTGTTAAGTCAATTTTCCTTTAAAGATTTTTGAGTATGTTTGAAGTAAAAAAAGTTGTTTAGAGTTTATATTCTATATGTAGGAGAAAAACTTTGTAGTATACTATATATATGATGCCATGTGGTTGGTTTGTTATACATTTGGATTTGAGCAATTAAGAGATTATTTCAGTTTCTTCAATAATTTTGTTACAATTATATATAAAAATACCGTGTTTAAAGAACCAGATATTCAATATTCTTATTGGTTTCTTCTTTAGTAATGAAAGAATTAGTGTTGTTTCTTG